TTGAGGCTTCAAGCAAATAGTACATCCAGAGCAAACTAAATCCCTATAGCAACTCCATCGAATAAATGAACATAAGTAAACAGCTTGAGAAAAATAATCGCAATCATATCAACTATAAGTCAAAAGGCTAATATCGAAACCAAATAAGCCTATAGACAGAAGGAAGAAATAACATGAAAAGTGACCAGTATTTTGGAGACCCCTATGTATAAACAAATTAAATAACATGTCAAGTTTACAGAACCCTCTCCTAGAAAATAAGAAATAATTCCTATGTGATAATACTTGCCAAATTGGAGATTATCCACCGATGTTCATGTTGGTTGTGGGTATGAAAGTAAACAAGAACACCAAAATCTAATCAAACAAACACTGTCAATGTTACTCAATCTCTTACATGCATCCATCCATAACTTCAAAAAAATATGATGCATCATTGTAGGAATCAATCTATGATAGTGATCCATACACTCAGCAGCTAACTACTATGATATCATGAATGGTGATTCTTATAAGCCTGAAAAGCTAGCTCTGCAAAGGCTAGTTATTACTGAAACAAGCATGAGAAAGCCAAAGTGAAAGCAGTAGATAAACCAATAATAGTACCTAGATACATACCATATACGCATAAATAAAATACAAGACAAAGACAATTAAATGGGCTTATCTCATTCATGACAGGAAAAAAAACATAAATGCTTAAAAGACATTAAAAGATGACAAAAGCATAACTGACAAGTTAATATATTCAGATTCCAAGCTTTGATTCCACCTTTTTTACGATATGAAGGATTATTTTTCAGGTATGGAAGTACCAGGTCATACATTTAGAAATGATAACAAATTAGGAAATGTAACTATTTCTAGAAGATGCCTTCAGAACAACCAAAAGACTTGTGTGAGTGGCAAACATTTTTGGCACAGTGGAAAACTACAGGCCATGAAACTTGACCTTAAAATGAATCTGGGACAGACTATGTCTAAGAGGCTCAATTTGTTGTAGCATGGAACCATCAACCAAGAGTGTGTTAATGGTAAACCCTGCAAAAAAAGGAAAGGAAAAAAGGCCACTTGCGCAGCCAACTGAACACCAATTCCCGCATAAGCATCAGAAGAAGAAATGCTTCTGCAAAAAAGCCCAAGACTCCACCAGCATTTCTGCAACAGAACAAATACAATTCAGCTATCTTGCTCTGAGATGCAGAAAATCTAAATTCATAATATGACATCACCAATGGTCTTCAAAATCTCAAACCCTTCCGACCAGTTCTCCCTGAGAACTTAAATAAGGTAACTCTAACAAATTGCGTCTTTAGAACCCATGATCTGAATTCCTCAGTAAGGCTCATTTTGCAGTGACCATCTGAGTTTGCTCTAGCATATCTGCGTGTTCGCACATTAATGTTCAATACTTAGAATACTAAGCCACTAATCTATATGAATCTTGAGCAGAGCATCACATGAATTACAAGGATTTTAGCATCACATGTATTTGAGTGGAAACTATGATAATAGACCCTTCTCGTTTCTTCAATCCAAAATTATTTCCCATCCTTCTTATCATTCAAAACATATCAAGTTACCATGGTTTCCTCACCAGAATTCTGACCACAAATCCAAAGGCTGTTAGCTAATGTTTTAGACAATTTTCGAGAGAAAAATGTTGCAGTGTACTTCTCTCATAGAGATTCCAAGAAATTAACATTGTTTACAAAATCACGTCAAGCACGCTACATAAACCACACAAGAGAAGCAACAATAAAGGTGAGGAAAACCAGTACCTAGAGTCACGATCTCTTTCTCTGAAATCCCTCTCTCTGCTCTTCTCTCTGGGCTTCTCGCGGTCCTCATCTCGGTGCTTCTCAGACCGACTCCTGCTCCTTCTCGACCTCTCCTTCTCCTTCTCCCTTTCCTTCTCCTTCTCCCTTTCCTTCTCCTTTTCGCGCTCCTTGATCCTCTCCTTCTCCCGAAGCCGCTCCGCCTCCCTCTCGTCACGATCCCGCTCGCGCTCCCTGTGCCGCTCCCTCTCCCGGCGATCGGATGAGCCACTCTCGTGGTGCCGCTCGCGGTGCCGCTCGCGGTGCTCACGGCCGCTCCTCTCCGCCGACCTCGACTGCTTCGAGCGGCGCTCGGAGTCTCGCTCGGCGTCGTCGGATGACCGGCGCCTGGAACTCTTCCCCCGGTCCCTCCCCTCGGAAACGGCAGCACCTCCGTTCGCCGACGGCTTCTCCCCAGCGAGCTCTGGGTTCTCCACCGCCTTCTCCAGGTACTCGTACTCGTCGAACTCCATGGTCGCCTCTCCGGAGGCGAGAAAACCCTAGAAGCGGCGGTCGATTTCGATTCCCTATCCCACGATTTGGGGGAAGAAATATAAAACCCTCCCTCGTCGATCACAAGCACGACTCTTAATGTGGTCAAGAGGCCCCCCTAAGTCTGATCGGATCCCGTCACCCGCAGAGACTGAACCAGCTCAGCTTTTCTCTGCTCTACCGGGTTTTGTTCGGATAAGATCCGCTTGCAATAAAGCAGCAGCACACAGAGACATGTTTTACGAATCCACCCTTCTACAGATTCTTATTTATTTATTTCGACCAATAAATACATACATATGCATATTAGAGTGGTCAAATGATAATAAAAACATTGGCAATCGTACTACGTAAGAAAATATTATAGAATTGAACCTTTTTCGTGCCAATTTAAGTGTGGAGTTGCCGATCATTAGATATTCTAAGCTTGATTAAATATTAATTTTGTTGTATGTATATATTTTTATAGGTTTACGTGTACATTCTTTTATATGATAAAATATTAGACATGATGATGTGACATTTATTCCTATGACTCCTCTCGATGATACCTACCTTTCTAGAGTCTACCGTTAACAAAGAACATTCATGTGTTCATTCCAAAATGGATGATGAAAGGTTTTTGCTCGTTTTGAAGACCCATTACATTATAAGTAGTCAAATATCGACCTAAAATGGTAAAACCATTCGACGCATTCTTAAATTACAAAATTACTCATTGTCAATCTTTCATTGTCAATCTTTATGCAAGTGCTTGTCATTTGATATATGATATTAAAAGTGAAAGGAGAAGGTGAATATTATTTTCTACCGATATCAATCAATGTGAGTAAGAAACCAAGACCGATAATTATAGGTTGTCTCCTGTAAATAAAATATCAATAGGAGAATGCTAGATATGATTAAAGATTATCTCATTATATAATATTTTATAAAATATTTTATATATTTACGATCAAGTATAAAAACTTACATTTAACAAAATGAGATGGGAGCTTCTCCTTTTGACTACTTATCACTCATATATCTCATGTTACTAATTTAGATATTAGATATATCGAGTCAAAAAAATCTCTTTGACCTCAATTTTTATATAGATAATACATCGAGAGCTCAATATTTTAACATTGAAAGCACATCGAATAACCATGTGTATATATAAATCACATTGGGTTGATCAAGTTCTTCCCGACTCAAAATATAATTTTAATTTCCTAAAATCATTAATCATAAATATTAAAATAATTAAAAATCATTATTTTTTTAATGAAACTAAATGATTCTATTAAGATTTGAATGTTGGATAATTAATTTTAAATCTAAAAACTTAACCACCATATAATAAATTTTATTTTTTATTTATATTTTTATAAATATTTAACTGATTTAAAATTAAAACCATTGATTTGGATTTGAAATCATCCATTTCTATTTCCTTAATTTTAAATCATCATTACTTATAATGGAATCGTCCAATATTAGTTTTAATTAGATTTGAAATTGATAAGAACTTCTGGCCTAATTTAACTTTAGGTCGAATTGAATCATGATTAAGGCTAATCCAAAATATCTATCAAATAAATGATAATATCGTATATAATACAATCTAAAGTATAAAGTTTTTCAATAAAAAATACTGATAATAGGCTAGTAATGAACTTATTAATATATATCATCGAGGATAAAAATTGTGTAGTATTAATAGCAAATCACAAAATTCCTCACGACTATAAAGAAGCGACAATAGTAAAGCCTACTACTATAAATATCAATATATATTATATTCAAATAATTTCTTTCATTGACTTTGCTATTTCTAAATATAGTTAATATATACAATACCTAAACTATCCTTAAGTTTTTAATGGGTGGTGGTATCAACAATAAATAGAAGATATCTATGTTGAGTCATTGGTGTTGCTCAGTGCAATGTTGCATATAAGTGCAATGTTGAAACTAAGAAGCTACTTCCTGAACGAGATGAAACAGATGATCGCGTCTCAGAAGCAGCGGAACTAATAGAAAACGCTGCGCGTGTTTCAAAGACTTGATCCACCAATAGGTCGCGAACAGCGAACACCATCTCGCCAGTCGTGTAAAAGCCGGCCGGCAATTAACGAACCCGCTTCCCTCACCCTTTCGCCGGGTCCGGTGCCAGATGGGACCCACGCTCACGAAACCCATTCTGGTTTATTTGGGTTATTAGTTTAAAGCAGGTGGCAGGTATTCGTTGTGTTTATGATGGAGTCGCGTGTTTTATTAGATAACATTGTTTTTGGTCAAACGTGGCTTTCAAGATTCGTGCACGTAATTTGATCGAATTGCTGAAGTGATGTCCAAACTTAAAGGCTGTTTTTTGTTCCAACAGAAACAGCCGACAGCAAATCATGGAGACCGGAACTGAAAGAAATCGTCGCGCGTGTTCGAAGGATTTGATCCTCCAAGCGGTCTCGAACAGCGAACACCATCTGGCGAGATTTGGAAAAAGCCGACCGTCACCGATGGAACCCGCTTCCCTTACCCTTTCGTCTGGTCTGTTGTCCCGCGGGACCCACGATCTCGAAGTCCCTCGCGGGCGATCAGTTGACCACCGCTGCTAGCTCGCGCGGGTCCCGTCACCGCAGGCGAGCGCTTCCCACGCGTCGTTCCCTATCCCTCTCGCGACAGCGCTATTTCGTCCTCCTCCCACGCCCTGTACATAACTTCCAACCCTCGCTGACTCTTGCACTCGTAACTGATCGCGCGCGCTGATCCCCACCGCGGCATCTCGACATCTAGCGATGGCAGGGGTCCTCCTCGCACGTTCCTCCTCCCGCCTCACCTCCTCCTCCCCGCTCTCCGCGTCCGGCGCATACCTCCTGTCCTCGATCTCTCCCTCCTCTCGTCCGCCGCTGCCCTCCAATCCTGTCCCCCGATCTCACCTCTCGGATGGGCGGTCACCGATCAGCCACCGCGCCCTTGTCCGCTCCTACGCCGCCGTCGCCTACCGCTTCGAGCGCCGGTTCGCCACCATGGGTATCCTCCCCATTCACCTCTCGCCACCGGCGTTCTTATTTTGATTTTGTTCTTGTTCTGGGTCCGACCTGATCACCTCGCGGTTTTCGGTTGGGTAGCTACGAGGAATTCGTATGAGAGCATCTTGACGACGCTGCGGAAGCCGGGAGGCGGTGATTTCGGGAAGTATTACAGCTTGCCTGCTCTGACTGACCCCAGGATCGGTAAGGATTTCGATGACTTCCGGTGTGAATTTGGTGCCTTTTGTTGTTAACGAAATGATGATTGTTGCCGTGGTTCCGGTGGTTTAGAGCGGCTTCCGTACTCGATAAGGATTCTGCTGGAATCGGCGATTCGGAACTGTGATGAGTTCCAGGTGACCGGGAAAGATGTGGAGAAGATTCTGGACTGGGAGAATACCGCGCCTAAGCAAGTCGAGATTCCCTTCAAGCCCGCTCGCGTTCTGCTTCAGGTACGTCTTCTCTCTCTGATTTCCATCTTGATTTTTTTGGAAGTTTTTAGGTCCTATATCGTGCTATATATATATATATATATATATATATATATATATATATATATATATATATATACTAC